CGTCATGACTTAATTATTTATATGTTTTAATAGTGACTCAATTAATTGCATCAAATAATTGCGTCAATTGCATCAAGAATTTACGAATTTCAGCAACATATATAGTGTAGTGGTTAACACTCTATAGGTCAAATAATAAGATACCAGTTCAACCTCATGTGAGAGTAGTTAATAGAATTAATATGATATTTGGTATCATAACCTGTTAAAAAGCACTGTTTCTCATAAGAAGCTGTTTTACATACTGATTCAGTAGATATTGAGATTGTGATTTTCAGAAAAGGTGTTATGGTGTGATGATTATCCAGTTGATATTATAATGATTGCCAGAAGTTGCAAAGTGTATAAGGTGTTTGCTTTTGATAAGTAGGTTTGATGATCCTTCCCTTAATATCAGGTATCTTTCATACAGATCCTTGTCTTAGTCTCATCCCAATTCAGTAATAAACCAGTCTGGCGGTACTTATTCCAAGAAGATTTCTGGCTATAAGTTCTGTTCCCTGCAATGTGTAAATCAGTGTTCAGGCAATAAATATCAGTTATAAGTATTTTGAACGTTCTTGAATATTATTGGACAGATAAAAAATTAAATGATTAGTTTAGCTGCAGGTGAGGTAAAGGGATTTATTCCTGATGGAGCAAGCAGCACTTATATAGCTTTATTCATCATAAATATTACTCCTAGTGCCCTCCTTTCAACTTTTTCTTAATTTCTTCTAGTTAAAAATAAAGCTGTTTAATTATTAGTGAAAATCACTACTAATCCAATAAAAAATTATCTTTGTCCAGTAAATTAGCCTCTATATCTAATATAGTTAGGAACAAGCTACAACAAATGTCATTATTTGAAACAATCTTGATAATTGTTGGGTATAATTGATAACTGATATGTTATAGCATAGTTCTAGATAGTAATGGCTAAAGATATATGTAAATATTGTTATAAGGAATAAATATCCAGCCAGATAATTATTATTGGTGCACTTTAAAAAATAATAATAATAATAATAATAATTACAGTAAAATCATATGATTGTATTATATTAAAATAATTGTAATATAATTGTATCAAAATTATATTAATTGTATTAATTATAAAAAAATCTATTTAACTTAATTATTAAATTTTTAATTTTTAATTGTGTCTGATTTAATTTAATAATTTTCATCACATGTATAGTATCATAAATAGATTAACATTAATTTACAAATTTTGTCTTATAAAGATGTTTAATATAATATATAGTATATAACAAAAAAACTCCTTATTATTATTATTATTATTATTATTTAATCTATAATAATTCAATTAATATAAAATTTCAAATACATCATTTTTAAAATCTAAATAATATAATATTAAGAATTTATTAATGCTTAATTAATAAATTTATTTGAAAATATTGATTTAAAGTCAAAAAAAAAATTTTTAAAAAAATGTATTATCAAATTTATATATAAATTTATATAAAAAATATGAATGGAAATTAAAATATAAAAATGAATAAAAATTTTAAGCTTATAAAAAACTTATAAAAAACTTATTATTATATTTAATAAATGTTATTAAAACTAATTTATTTTTTTAACCTATACTATATGTTATTTATATAATTACATTTCAAAATTTGAAAAATTTAAAAAAAAAAGTTTAAAAAAGTTTTAAATAATCATATATCAAATAATAATTTAATAAATTTATTTTTTTGTAATAAAATAATTGATAAAGAATCAAATTTTATAGATAATTTGTTCTTGTTTTTTTTTTACATATGAAACAAAAATAAATAAATAAATAAATTTAAAGTTTTTTTAAAAAATAATAATAATAAACTTTAATTAATTTAAAAAAAAGTGATAAAAAGGTGATAACCAAAATAAAGTGGATGTTGATAAAGAATTAAACTTTATCAATAAGAAATCCACAACATGTACAGTATTAAACAGCTTAGCTAAGATTTATTTGTGAGATTAAATTCAGGATCCTTGCCACCAATTGAACCAATCACAAAAATTTAAGCATAATTAATTTTAAAAGAATTGACGAGATATGTATTGTATATAATATTTGTTGTTGTTTTTACAGTAAATGGAAACATCTTACTCTATGAAATTTACAGTATGTTTATTTATTTTCGAGATCACACATACAATGTGTATGATAGATGTAAATTACCTGATTATTTATATGACATACGGCACAAGCTTGGAAAAATGTTATCACGATAATACCGATAGTATGCATTTACTTTTTTTTTTTAAAAAAAAGGGTGAACATTCTATTGTTATGTTTGGGTTTTTTAAATAATTTTCCGACAATCAACAATCATCATCACCATTAAATAACAATCCAAATGTATTTGACACCTGCTATAAAAAAGATTAATCGACGGTCGATTATTCATTCGAATGGTTTATTATGTTCAATCAATCAAGCAACCTTTTCCTGTACTCTATCTTCCATTCATCGGAGAACAATCGTGCCGTTTGATTCAGCCCTGAAAACAATACCGTGATGCAAAATAATATAAGCATGTTTTATTTACACAATCTTCACGATTAAATTACCATTAGGTGACATCCCAATTGCTGTAAATAAACAAATAAATGCAATACATGTTTAGAGTATAAAAGTGAAATTAAAGAATGAGATAAAAACAAAGAAGCAGTTCTTTTATTGCGAACATCAAAGACACGAGGTACGTACATGAAATCTTTGATTGGTCGAAACATTTGATATCATCATGCTACCAAAAGAGGAAGTAGAACGACCAGATGTGCGAAAGATGGCCTGTCAAAAGAGGAGCATAGCGACAATGGAGATTACCTCAATGTAGAGCCCTATGCTAGTAACATGCTGGTGAGACACACAATAGATACGGATACGGATATACCGCGTATCAGCGAGTTATATTCATGGTTGCATTGGCATTGTAGACAACCGAAATGAAAGAGATGTATTTAAATTAAATGACGAATGGTAATTTGTGGTGGGTCAGCGACGACGACAACGACAACGACGAATAGCTGAGCGAATTAAGTGCATGTATTCTAAAAAAGTCAGGGTATGAGAAATTCTATGGAGTAAGACACATTGAGAAGTTGCATAAAGGCGAAGTTGCATCACATGCATGCCTACACAGTGTTGCATTCTAACACCACATTTTCGTTGGCACTTTCGATCATACTCGCGATTACGTAATTTGACGGAACGTACGCATGACTTAAGGTAATGACAGCATAAAACTCGACCGGACAATAGAAACAATATAGCAGGTTGGCTTATACGATGGACGTCGCTGGAAGTAAATTGTTTCGTAAGCTGACCAAAACGCCGTCAAATCTCAAACCTGATTTGATGGCTGTAGGCGAAAAGCAAACGACAATCCTTTTTACCTTTTTACCAAGATGACCGAGTATATATGTCGCAGGATGTAGGTGGGTGAGTGGGTAGGTACGTACGTACGTATATTAACACTCGATGTTATAAAGAATGACCAAAAAAGTAGTGAGCTTCAACATAAATTGATAAGGTGAAAAAGGCATTTTGAGCTGCTCGATTTCTCTGGTTCTGGTTACATCGGATTTTTTTTTTTTCGACAGTTCCATATTCGGAATACCGACCGACCAACCGACCGATTGATTGATAACAAGTGCAAGTGTGTGCACGTTGCGTTGGGGATTCAACACCACAAAATACTTATCAATTTCGCCTAGCATCCATCATACGTTGTTAACAGGTAGCGTGCAATTAATATAACGTCAAATAAATTTGTCAGAAGCAAGCGTTTTTTTTTTTTTTTTGGCATACAACCTTGAGCATATGTAATCGAAGTTTTGGGTACATACGTACTTCCATTGATTAACATCCGAAAGAGAAAGATTAACCGCACACTTCCAAGCTTTTTATTAGATGCGCAAACATGTAATGCGATGCATGTGGGTTGGGCCGACATTCTCTTTCTTGCTGCGTTGTTTTGAAATTGACACATCCAACAATGACAACATCACAGTGATACAATTGTGATACATTCTTGATTCCGTATTCTTAATTTTTTAATACCAGATACATATCGATATAATTTACATATAATTTCATATGAAATAAATAAAATCTAATCTTAAAAAAACAAATTTTTTTTTTTTTTTCTTTTTTTTTTTTTTATACCTTATAGTAAAACGCATAGACTTATTCTAAAACTTAACTATCATTGTTTGTAACTTAAAGAATTTTGTGCATAAATTTTTTTTTCTCGTCGTTCGATGGAATACCTAATGATAATGATATTCTCGAAAATTGATCATGTCAGCCCAAGCTTCCAATTTGTCGCTAACTCTAGCCGGGGAACAATTTCTAACGGTGACTTCTTGTAATCTTTTGTGTTGGTTATGGATCAAGGGAGAAATCAAAGTGAAATTCATGTTGTAACAATCGACTATACTCAAACTCTCCAATCTCGAGCAGGATTTCACCACATCCAATTTGCGACATCCTTCGAAGTCAACCCCGTAAAATCCGACTTGACGCAAGGTACGTTTTTGCTTGATCAACGATGGGATCACGATGGCAGCGAGTGATTTGCATTTCGACAAAGTCACACGCTTGAGACCACGTTGACTCTCGATGAGCAACGCTAACTTTTGGGCCATCAGGTGCGATTTGTCGTCGTCCACGTTTAAACTCATGATTCTCAGCGAATGCTAAAGAATATTTGATATCCGAAAGTTAATAAAATATCGGCGAATTGAAATTTCACGCAATTCCAAAGCGATGAATGAATACGTACCAGGTTTTTACAGCGTTTGGTGAGGGCGGTTAGGAAGGTGTCTTTCGGAAAATAGCAACTGATCAAAAGATTTCTCACGGGTTTCACCAAAGAGCAAATTTCAGGTTCAACCATCAACATGTATAGATCGTCATTGCAACTGGCGGCGCTTCGAATGTTGAGCGTTTTCAAATGAGCGGACCTCGCCACCATTAATTTTAGGATCGATCTCAGAATTGCCGTAACACTTTCGTCGGTTCCTCCCTCCAGGTGAACTTTACACCAACTCTTAACGGATGAAATAAGTTGACAATAATCTAAACTCTTGATGAAATTTGCATAATCGTAAACGGGTGAGTTGTATTTTCCGGCCGGTACGAAAACGCCGTCGTTATATAAATCTTGACGCTCCGATTGATCCAGACACGAGAGGAGAGTGTGAATTAAAGATTTTCCTCCGCGTCTGTGACAACGATGAAAAGGGTGACGCCAGAGAATTGAGACCGCGCTCTCACGCCAAAGATTGTTCACCAACAAACATGAAAATAAGTTACCAAAAGTTTTTGGATTCGGAGAGCCGAGCACCTCGTCCCGGTCATCTAGATATTCAAAAACTTGACTGAGAACTTCGGATATGAACATCAATTATATAAATAAAAAATTTATCTAAAATTTTTTTTTTTCTAATTGATGTTGTTTTTTTTTTCCCTCGAATAAAATTTAAGAAAAAAAATTTTTTTTAATTTTTTTTGACAGACTTTGAAAGTTTTTATTTTTTTAAAAAAAAACAAACATGTGTCTATGATAATAACATTGTTTTTGTTCCTTCGTTTATATTTTTTTTTCTGAAGGTAAGATAGGTTATTCAATAAAAAGCAATGTTTGTTTTAAAGAAAAAAAAACAGCAGAGAATGTCAAACAACTGGAATTTATTTATCATCAAGTTTGACGTAAATAACGCGGTAAGATACACAAACTTCCCATATCTGTAACTCCGCGGGATATGTACTGCGTAAATTGAGTGAGTACGCAAATAAATAAATATATAAACAGTATAATTTGCACCCTACATATTATAAGAGATTACCAATACAGCTACTATATGAAATGATTCAAACATTAAGCAAGGATTGATTAGTTAAGGCGGAAGTAAGGGAGTGACAAAGAATCTACAAGAAGAAATCGATCCCCAGCCAAGTTCGCTTTCACGACACGGCGAGGAATTTTTTTTTTTTTTTTTTTTTATGTGGATAAAAGGAAAAGTCAGGTGGTCGTTGTACATGCTCCACCAAGCTTAATGCAGAGTTCATGATAATGATGTTTGATAGTGGGCGTTTTTTCCTCTTCAGCGAATCGCCATTCGAAATCTTTCAAGCAGTTTACGTGCTCACACTATTATTTTAGAATGTCTGGAATTTTTTTTTTTTTCTTAAAAAAAAAAAATTGATGTACCAAGCAACTGCGAACGTCAAACAACATCTTCCTTGCATCATCAAATACATGCGTGTGCTGTCACCGGTTTTTTTCTAAAGTTAACCTAATGTGAATGCGTGTATTGCCGATATCTCTTCGGCTAACAATCACGAGCGTGAGGAAAATGATCTTCTTTAAAGAGAAAAGGTACCTAATTATTTGCATGGACCGAGAAAAAGGCTCATGCAAACTTCGACCATAGAGATGAATGCCCCTGCATTGATGATTCTTTGTCAACAATCGTTCACCTGTCAATTTCTTGACAGGTCAATCATATAATGGAAGTTCGTTTGAATCATTACTAAATTAATCCTTCCATGAGATTTTTTTTTTTTTTTTTTTTTTTTTTTTTTTTTATTTACCGACATGAAGGTAATCTTGTTGTTCAGGCTGTGCGAACTTTGCTCGACGCGGAGAGGAAAATAAATAAGGTGGAAAGGAAGGTGTGATGAATCAAGGCAGTCGTTGATGTGGTACCACCTCACTTAACCCATTAGAAACAACGGAAATTGCGGGAACAGATTGTCATATGCAAACGGTGGGTGTACGTTGATGTCAACATTGGGCTGTTTTGGAATTAATCTATTCTCAATTAAATGTCAAAAAACTCCACAAACAACCTGATACCTCCAAATCATCGAAATAAACAAGTACACGGCATACAAATAAATCCACCGTACGCTCAACTTTTACAATCGAAACACTCTTCCAAATACCCATTTTCATGCACGAGACGATTATCTTCACAATTATTTTCAAATTTTTTATTATTCCAACTTTTCACCCTTTTTTTCTTCTTCTTCTTCTTGAATGAACAGGTATTGTAATTCTCCTTTTGGTGTCAATTCATTACAACAACAATGGCGATAATGAGAATGACAACAACAATAAGTAAATAAATACCGTAAATAAAACATTGGTATTATTGTCGTTGCCTAATGCTAAACCAAACCTTTGACACGTAAAATCCCGTATTAGGAGCACATTGTTTTATTGAGATGTTTGTGTCAAAGAGTGTGAAGAGATTATGGACATTGCGCTTTTATCATCTGCGAACAAAGAATGCTATGTGCACTCTTCAGCATCATTGAAACCATTATCGGCTAGTGGCAGTGAGGACGCTACTTGATCACATGATTTATCGGTGAGATCGTTGTTCGTATAGTTGGCAAAACGGTTTTGGTGTGACAGGTCGAAGAAGAAATTGTTACGTGTATCACTTTACATGATTGCCACTTCCGATGTTCTTTGTTGATCTTATTTGGTAAATAGCGTTGATCATGTTCCCCGCCTTTTTTAATATCGGGCAATGCGTCAAGTGTAAACAACGGATAATATATGCGTTAAAAATTTCGGACAAGAACAACGTATGGCCAGTAGTGGTATCAGGTACCGCACATATGGGACGTCAATGTTCCCCGATTTACCCTTGATCCGTACGATGATGATTTTGAAGCTTACGCAAGTTTCGAATCAACCGTCAATGCGGTAACCGACAAATGACCGACTTTTCCTATTATCTAATCAATGTAAAACCCCGAGGGCTTCTCTATGGTCTTTGTCGAGTGCCTTTCTGGAATTTTCTTCATTTCATCAAACGACGAATGCAGTCAAGTGGTCAATGTATTCTTTGTTTTTTTCCAACAAAGTCAATCCCCCATTTGTAAGTCTTTGTTTGTACATGTCTATTTTTGAGATCGAGGGTCAATTACTAGGCTTGTTTTAGAAATCAGTCCCATCCGTTGTACGTACATACACATACGCTTGATTTTTTTTTTTTCTTTAACAAAGTCCCCATATCATCGCGCGGGCTAATTGAACAAGTAAGCATCTCTGTTACGTCTACACGATGACACAAATCCAAATCGTCAAATTAAATGCGAACTTGTTATCTTTGGGGTGAGTCAAAAAAAAATTTTTTTTTTTTTGTGCATGATCAATTTGTTTGGTTGCCATTTATATGCAATTGCGAGAGTGGGTTAATTTGATTTTTTTTTTTTTTGTTTTTGAATTCTTCATTCCATATCATTGTTCGGTATATAAGGAATATCAGGATATTGTCCTTTATCGTGAGAAAATCGTTGCTCATTCTCCGCCAAATCTTTCTTTGACAACAAAAGTTTAATGTTCGGTTGCCTGTTCTGACCTACTACTATACGTACTGTATACACTGTACATTGCGTACTCTCAACTATGCTTCAAGGTTGTAGATTTAAATGGAAATGTGCGCACATGTTAAAATCGACACCGTTGCAAACAAAGAAGATATAAATGGAACTATCTATTTATGCGTACATGTATATAATCGAAATTAGCTTTTCGACATCCATAGGGAAATTTTTTTTTAAAAAAAATTTATATTACAGCATGTACACACATATATACATATATAGTTTTTTTTTTCATATGATCAGATCATTCCAGTTTCCCTTGAACATTAATTCAAATTCACCATTTCTCAACTCAATGGTTACTCAAAGCTTATTATTTCTTTATTAATGCCCATTGATCATTTTTTAAAGTTCAACTAATCCTGATCACCCAGTGTTCAATAGTGTTCAGTGGTAGATGTGATTGATTTGATTTGATTTGATTACATTTTTGTTACTTGATAAATTGTAACACCAAACTATTTTTTTCTTTTTTTTCTTTGAAATAAAAAATCAAATCAAATATTGTACTGTACTGTATTGTATTGTATATACTGTATATTTTTATAGAAATATTTTATTTTTATTTATATTATCATTATTGTGATTTCATAATACAAAAGTAAATAAAATTAAACATAAAATAATAAAATCAATAAAAATTTTTTATTTATAATTTATAATTAATTACAATTGCCAATTTTTTAAAATTTTTTAAAATTTTTATGATTTTTAAAATAAATTTTAAACAAAATTGTCTTTTTTTTATCAATTTTTTAAACTTAAATTTCTTAAAAAAATAATTTATAAATCAATGATTAATATAATTAAAATTCTTAAAAATTATATGTTAAAATCTAAACTTTTTTAATATTGTTAATAAAAAATTTAATGTATTTTAATATAACAATTGTTAAAAAATTAAATTTTAAATTTTAAATATATATTTAATAAAAAAAAATTTTTTTTTTAATTTAATTTTTTTATAATAAATAATAAAATTGATAAAAGATTTGTGGGTTAATAGCACAGTAAATAGTACTTCCAGATCTTTATATGTAAATCTCTAATTCAATATTTATAAAAGACAAAAAGTATATTTACTTTCATATATAAGTTTATTGAATATTTTATATACAGTAAATTATATTCAATAATTTTTAATTATATTTAAATTCAATTAAATTGTATAAAGATGAAATCTTTAATCTTTTTGATAATTGTAATTTAAAAAAAAATTAAAATATAAAAGATTGCATAAGAAAAAACTTCTGATCTAACTTTGTCAATAAGTTTACAAAACTCCAACTTAAATTAATAATAACAAATTTTATTATATAATCAAAGAAGCTTAAAGATCTATCTCAAGAATAATATTCTTCTAACTTGAAAATAAAGATTATCTACTACAAGTGATAACAATTTAAATAAAAATTATTAAAACCAAGTAAGTATATAAGATTAAATTGAAATTCAAGCAAAAATGATAATTTTATAAATAATAAAAACAGTAGTATAATATTATATTAGTAGTATATTCCAAGAATCAACAATAATAAGTAATTGAAATAACTGAAATTAATCTCCATAATAATATTTCACATAGTTTTTTTTTAATAGACAGTTGAAAAATATAAACAAATCAATAGGAAAATAGGTTTAAAATTAGCAATAGGATTTTTTCTTTCTATATAAGTTTTATCTGGATATAAATCTATCTTTATAATATAAGTTATTAATTAGAATAGTTAGATTGGCTTAAGAAAAACCAGTAGAATTGAAAATAGTATTTACTAGATAGTTTTAATTTACATTCAAAATAGCAATAATCTATTTTATAAAAATATTTAATATAATAAAAGTAATAATAATCAATAAAAATTTTATATCTAGTACTCTTAATTAATTAATAAAAATAAAAATAATAAAATTATTAAAATTGTATTTTAAATAATTTTTTTAAAATTAATTATATTTAAAATTTTAAAAAAAATTTTAATTAAATTTTAATTTATTTTTTTTTAAAAGAACAGGCAATTATCACATATTATTTTTATTTATAATTTTATACTTGTGAACTACAAGATTTATAACTCAATAGTATAATATATATCCCTTTTTGTCAGAAAGAGTTAAATGCAAAGCTCAAAAAATAGCCCTTCCACATAAACTCCTTGATACTACTCAAGAATATAAGAAAAATAAATTCAAAACCTATATTATGTCTTGAATAGTATCTAGCTACCTAAAAAAATTTGAAACCTAATCATATGAAAGCACTGCAACTACTATATACAGATTGGCTTCCAAATCATAACTAGAATTGACATTGTGGTAAAATAGATAACTTAGTCTTATTTTTACTTATTTTTATCGAATTATTATTAGTTTATTTTTAGCAAGTAGCATTTATTATTTTATTATAGTATAAATATCTATTTATAGCATGTGTGACGTAGATCAGACAGCCTAGAAGGT